GTGACAGAAGGATGTTCCGGAGCAGGGACAGCTCCAGGCATCCCAGGCCAGGGGGTCAGGGTGGTGCAGGACCCCCCAGGAGCTGGCGTGGCAGATGACGGTTCCCCGCTCCCCACCCCGGCGTGTTAACGCCAGCATGGCACCTCCTGTGCTATTGAACAGGGTGTTTTTGCAGGCGCGCAGCCTGCTCGCCGCAGACGCACACGGTGTACTCTGCGTCCGGGACATGAGCAATTATGTCCTATTCATTCAGGGCTAATTGCTTCCCGGCTCTGCCGGCACTGGCGTAGGTGGCCCCCAGCAGCCGCACGGGTCCGGTCGGGCAAGAGGAGCAGACACCGACGCCAGGTCCTCCTGCCTCCCGCACAGCGACGTGCAGCATTTCCTCTCCCCCGCTCTACCAGATTTAACAGAGCCCTCTGGTCCGACACCACTCCCCAGCACCCCTGAAGTAGCTGCGTGGGGGCTTGGGGTCAGCCGGGGGGGCCAGGTCTGCAGGGAGGGGGCAGGCTCGGGCAGCACAAGGGACCCCCACAGAAACTGGCAGGAAGGGCAGGTCTGCCAGGAGCAAGGAGCGTGCAGAAGGATGCAACCCTCTCCCCTGCCCAGGTTTGGCACTAAGGTGGGACCCAAAGGTGCAGAGGAGGAGGAGGAGGAGGGAGCACCTCGCTCGGTAAAGCTGCTTGCGCTCATTTACCAGAGCAAGTTCTCCAGCCGGTGGTGTAATTACACACAGCATTAATTTGCCAATGAAGTTAATCCATCACCCCTTTTATTTGCTACACCAGGGAAGACCTCCTCTGCCTGTTCTCTGGTGTCCTTGTAGGCAGACACGCTGTCAGGCAGCGCCTGACATTAACCCCAGCCCTTCTGGAAACGATGGCGGTTCACACCACCAACACACATCTCCTGCAGCGTGTACCCCCTCGCCGGGACTGACCCGCAACCGCGACCCAGCCCATCGCACTTGAGGGACTTGCAGAGGGGGCTGGGGCTGCTGCTGTACCTGGATGTTGTCGAACGATGCTTTGTTGGTGACATCGTAGAGCAGGAGCAGGGCTGCGGAGAGAGGGACGGTGCGTTAGTGCCGGTGCCGGGCAGGAGCATGGCCAAGCAGAGCCACGGCTCAGAGTTTGCTCTGCGCCGTTCCCCAAGGCAGCGCACGCCCTGCTGCCGGTCACGCCCGGGGACATGGCATTAAAGCACTGCTGTGGTCCTTGATGTAAAATATAACGCAACTGCTTAAACCCACCACGGGCAATGCCTTAGGGGGTGTTTGCACCTTGACAGGCAGAGGCTCCTCCATCCTTGGTGGCTGCTTCCTACAGGGAAACCGCTCTGGTGATTCCTGACCCACCTGGCCTGGAGTCACGGCTCAGGGCCCCGAAGAGCCGGAGGGAGGGTGCTCCCCCCCGGGAAGCAGAGGCAGCCGTGCTTACCATGGGCGTCCCGGTAATAGGCGTGGGTGACACTGCGGAAGCGCTCCTGCCCGGCCGTGTCCCAGATCTGGAAGGCAGATGGGAGCAGAGGGGTCAGCCATGACCTGCTGCCGCGCAGGCTGAGGGACCCGCCCAGCACCAAAACCAGCACCAAACCAAAGGGCACGGTGCAAGCCCTTTTGCTTCTAGGGGCAGTAACAGGAAAAATTAAAAGTGCAATAAATATTGAAGCAGCAACTCCTCGCTCCTCAGCGCATTGGAGACGATGGTGTGTGGCAAAGGACTCCCAACATGTCCCTTAATCAGAAAATCCATCCAGCAGATGGATGCGTGGGGACCCGCTAATTTAATTTCTCAGTTCTCAATGCAGCGATACGTTTGCAGAGTGCCACGCTGCTGTCGGGGGGAGATCAGCGCTATTGTCGTTATTGAGCTCCAGGCAAAGGGGTCAGAGAAACAGTTGAGTCTTGGGGGGCCGGAGCAGCTCTGGCTGCAGGGGGACACAAAACCTCCCTCATGTCCCGCGGGCTGGATGCAGGCTGAGCCAGGGGATGTGGATCCCTTTGGAGGATCTCCATCCCTCCCACCATCCTCCAGCTCTCCCAAAGCAGGAGCAGCCTGGAAACATCAGGAAAACCCCGCAGGCGCTGCTCCAGTCTCCCCAGCTCCAGCCACAGTCACCGAGCAGCAAGGAGGCAGGCGAGGTGGGACGGGGATCACCGTGGCCACAACAGCCCCCAGCCTCGAGCAGGCTCCCACCAAGGGGACAGAGCAGCTGAAAGGGCTCATAAGGCTGACCTGAGGCGGGAGGCACGATGGCAAAGGATGGAGATGAGGGACCTGCTTCTGGGGTGCTCCTCTGCCGAGGGACTTTGCCCAGCCCCAAACACCCAGCGGGGAGGGCTGAGGGAGCTGCTACCAGGGCCACAGGGACGTACCTGCAGCTTCACCTTCACCCCATCCACTGTCAACACCTTATTCTGAAAGAGAAGAGAAGAGAAAGGGTTGTGAGGGGTGAGTGAGGCCACGGGATGCCGACGACCCCCATTCCGGGCTGCGCTTCCCCCCAGACCCTCGGGCTGATCTCTGCTCCCTGCTTTTTAAATCTGCATCCATTGGTCCCAGCGCCTGTCGGAGCCATTTACACCGTGGCCCAGCTGGAATATCGTTCCCTGTGTCTGCTGCAAGTTGCATCTATTTGGATAGTTAAATCCTTGCATCTGCAAAGCCAATTTAGTGCAGAGCGTGGCTCAGGCTAGAAGACCTCTGGCAATAAATTAATGAGCACCAGCATCCCATCTTAATGGCCTTCAAAAGACACAACCAACTACTTCATATTCATTCAAGTCAGCAACTTAAAAATAACTCCTCTTCCTGCCGTTGGTACCCATTTTTCTCCTAGTGAGCACTGTTTTCTCTCTCAGTTTTGGGGTTTTTTTTTCCCATTTTACTTGTTTTTAGCAGGAAAGGTGGGGAGGAGGAGAGAGGGCAGTTCCCCTCCACGCTGTCCTGTGGGGTTTTCCCCAAAGCCAACAGGATACTTGTTGTGACCGCTGGGCGCACGCCCCGGCAGAGCCAGGAGCCCTGCAGAGCCGTGGGGGGAGCCCATCAGTGCCCCTTTGGGCGGCTGTGCCAGCCAGCGAGAGCAGGGGATGGATCCTGGCCACGTCCCAGAACGACTGTACCAGGCTCTCCAAGCTTTAATCAAACCCAATCCTAACGATCCAGCAGTCCCAGGGGAAAGAGCAGAGAAGAGATTAATTTGCCTGCTCAATCCACAGAAATTAGCACCATAATCAGTAGGACATGATGAAAACACCGCCATTCGCTGCTCTCGTAACGACCGATTTAAATCCCACTTGCTCCGGAGCGGGCGTGGGGTGCTCTCCCCTCCCTAGGCACACGGCCGTGGCACGGCCAGGGCTGTCCTGATCCCAGCCGGGCTCCTCCGCCTCAGCCCCGCTACCGGCCCCGACCGGCAGGAGCACAGGCTCTGCCCCGGCTCGCCCCCCAGCACCAGACACACCACCAGCTCCCGTGCTACCAAAACCTTCCCAGGCAAACCACAGCACATGCGTGCCGAGAGCCGTCCCCACGCATGCCATGCCGCTCGGCATCAAGTACCAGGCACCTCGGGATGCCAGCAGCTGGCATCACTCTGCCAGGATGGTGCCGGCGAGGCTCTTCATTGCTGTTTTGATGTTTTTAATTAGGGCAGAGGGAGCATCTTGGCTCCTGCACATCTATGCTCGCCGAACAGCGAGGATACGGGCGAGGAGGAGAGGGCAGGAGTGAGCCAGAGCACTACATGTACACAGCCTGCTAAAGCAGGAGCAGGGGAGACGATCGCAGTTTATAAATACCTTCAAAGGCAGCGACTGAGAGGAGGGAGCAGAGTGATTCACAGCCCGGGAGCGGTAAAAATAGGCAGCCAGCCTGTGCGGTGCGGGAGCCGAAAGGGACTCAGGGAACCGGCCGGAGGCTTGGGACCCGCTCACCATGTCCGGTGCGCGAAGCTGAGGCTTTCCCCAGGACGCGAAGCTGGGGCCGCTGGAGGCTTGAAGTGCTTAAAACCGAGGGCGAGCATGGCCACGCCAGGCCAGCCGTGCCCGGCGTGGAAACACACGGCACGGCGAACCGCGCTTAGAAAATCCAAGCAGAGGAGCTGCGCCTTCGCTGTCACCGCAGCGGGCAGGGAGCTGCGCTGCTGGGCACCCACTTCACAGGTGAGATGGGGCAGGTTTACTTTCTGCAGAAGACCTGCTTCCTACGCTGTTTTCCCTCCAAAACCGTGGGTCCTACCGCAGGTCCTGGTGCCGCACCAGAGGCACCAGCACATCCTGCAAGGCGCAGGGGCTGGGAGCCCCAGGCTCCGCACCAGCGCGATGCTCGTCCAAACTCCGTCCCCAGTCTGTGGCAACCAGCTGCTGATGCCACCCGCCGGGGACCACGCCAAGGGACGCTGTGCCAGGAGCTGCAGCAAAAGGAAAACACATGTTTCCCCATGGGCCCCGGAGTGCCTGGCTGCTCCGGATCTCAGCACAAGTGCCAGCAGCCCTCGCAGGGGATGAGGACACTTGGTGTGATGAATGATGACAAGGGACAAGGACACCAGGAGCTTCATGTTAAAAACAGCCCCAAGCAAGTGCCCTTCCCCACGCAGCCCCACAGCCGCACCAGCACCTCCAGCTCGGAGGAGAGCGTGCACCAAAGGGCGGCTGTGCCCAGGGACGCAGCCATGTCCCCAGCATGGCCATGCTCCAAGGGTGACCGGCCACCGCAAGTGGGAGGGAGGGAGAACATGGCCCCAGCCCGGAGCATGGACCAGCCGAGCCGAAGCGACCACAAAGCATCTGGTGAGCAGCCGAAAAAACTGAAGCTCCGGTGCTGCACCTCGTGCATCAACTTCCACTTCAGGAGCTTAATTAGAAGCAAAGCTGGCAGCAGCATGATTCACAGTAATTACGACCAACCTATATTTTAGGAGGGGGAAATGTTTAAACCTCATTAAAGTCTGCATGTGGACCCAGGTACTCCTGGACCAGGCTGGGGGAAAAACGGATTCCCCCGGGTTTTGGTGTGGAACAGCGCGGCGTTTCAGGGCGAGTGTTTGCAGAGATGCTCCTGCAGGCAGGAGATGCAGCCAGAGCCGTCCAGAGCCGTGGCTCCTGCCCGCATCCCTCCCCTGCCTGCCCCAAGCACAGGGTGGCTGCAAAACGCAGGGGAAGAAGCCGAGCAGAAGGTAGGAGGAGCGGGGTGGGAAAGGCTGCTGCCAGCAGCACCACGGCTCCGGTCGGTGCCACGGGAACCAGATGCCCAACTCTTCCCCCATACCGCAGCTAAAAGACTTTCCAGCTTCCAGTTATTATTAATTTTTTAAGGAGCTGCAGTTCAATTCCATACTCGCAGCCCTTCAAAGGCACAGTTGGGAGGTTTAACGACTAATAAGCATCCAAAGACAAAAGACGACGTGTGTCAATGCACTGAAACGTGAAATACGCTGCCGGGCCTGATCACAGCGAGAGGGGCTCTGTTGTTCGGGGCTGGTTCTTAATCTTGCACAGTTTAATGTAATAGGGGTAATACTCACAGCAGGCCACCCGCTCCGCAAAAGTGGGCAGGAAAGCCATGCCTGCAACTCAGCTCTGTTGTCGTCCTTTGCAATTTCAGTTTTTATGTGTCCTTTTTCCCGGGGCTTTGACAATATTTTTAAAATACCTTCTAGGAGAGGCTGCAGTGGAATGCCTGGAGTGCCTTTGTTGGAGGAACATGATGCTTGTAAGTTAAATAATCCTCAGGATGTCAGATAAATAAAGTTGGAACCTTGTAGATGCAGAAAACATTAAATTACCAAGTGCAGATGGGCCGCAATTAAGAGCAGCGTTATCAACACACCAGCGGCCCCGCTGGCTGCAGCCCCGGCACGATCCCGCCCCAGCGGCCGCACGAGAGCGGCCGTTCGGAGGCAGAGAGGAGGGAGGAGAAGTGCCCATGATGGAGCGAAACCGCGCTGCTCCCCGAAACGTGCACCCTGCGACGGACGATGCTCCCCTGCAAAGCAAGGAGCCCCCGCCCCGCTCTCAGGGCAGCTGGCGAGCGGCTGCAGTTTGGGTAATGCCGCTCCCCCGGGCACAGGGTTCCCCCGGTGCCCGTGAACCGCACCGGGACCGACTGGCACATCCCGGCCCACCCGCAGGCGCCAGTCAGTAATCGCACAACAACCCGGCCTCTCCCCAGCTTTTCCACGCTTTAACTCATTAATTAAAGCCTTAAAAATTAAATCGGGTACATGGATTAACCCGCTTCACAATTAATCTGACAAGTGGAAAGCTGCTCGCTGACACCATTCAGGCTCCAACCAGGGGAACCCCTT